TAATTTTGAATGAATGTAATTTTTTATTTAAGAAAATATAAATAAAATAATTCATTAATCTAATTAATTTTAAATTAAATAAAATTGATTTCAGTATCTAACACCACGGAAGATAGTTAGACTTATTTTTAATTTATTCAATAAATGAACTGAGTTTTTAGCCAAATAATTGAAAATGAGATAACTAAGAAATTTATTAAAAATGTATGACTTAATTTTTAATATTTTTTTGACACAAGATTAATTATTTTTTTTATTTGGAAACATGTTTAGTAGTACTATAAAGGAGGGAAATTTTTTTTCTGTCACCAACATAATAGACTCATGAAGATTCTATAAACCAATATGGCAGCTCTGAATCCTTGTGGACAACGAAATATGGTTCCTTCCTTGCACTGTGTGCTAGTCTGTCCGCCCGTAGATTCTGTGTCTGTGGTACATGGATGATCTCTGAGCGATGAAAAATTATCTTCACTAAACTAATATCTTCCAAATAACTCACAAATGTTGGACACTTTTCCGGTTCCGATACCATCTTTACTAATTGAGAGCAATCCATTTCATAAGTGACTGAATATTGTCATTAGTTCCTCATACATTCCATAGCCCAAATGAGAGCCTATATCTCTGAGTGTAAGGGTGAATGGCTCGCTCGTATGTTCCTAGCTCCTATGAGACTATCAAAGCCTTCCAAAGTGCTAAACCACCCTTGTCCCAAAACATTGTCCTGCGATTTCCACGATCCATCCGTAAAACACCATTTACCTGTTATAACAGGTACTGAGTCTTCTTCAGGAGCTCGATTCTGATAGAGAATATTGGCTGAAACACTCTATCAGCCTCCTATATTAGTGAAATGCCCACGATTTGACATTAATAATTTTTAAGACCAAATTGCCCTTCCTTTTACATGTGACTCTTTCTCTCTCCTGACACACTCTCTCTCCTGACACACTATCTCACACTCTCTTTCCTTTAATTCCTCTTCTTTGTCATTCTCAAACTCTCTTATCATTTTAATTCTTTCTTTTTTTTTTGTAAAAATTAATTGTTGCGAAAAAATTTATTACAATTTTATTATTATTCTTTTGAATCTAAATTATTTTAATTTCACCACATTCTGAAAAAATCAGCATTGAAGTTTTTTTAAAAATCGCCGAGATGTTAACACTTATGTTAGCTGTTAACAAATAATGTAGATGTCAACAAAATTGTTAACTGTTAACAAATACATGTACCAGATGTATTAACAGAGGCATTAACTGTTAACAAATTTTGTAACTGTTAACAGATGTGTTAGCTGTTAACAAAAACATGTATTACAAGTGCTAACAGAGATGTTAGTTGTTAATAATTTTTGTAGATGTCAATACATGCGTTAGGTATTATATATTAACAAATAAATATTGTTGAAGTTTCATTTCTCTATCAAAATGAGTAAATTTAAAATCATTTACAAATAAATTTGTAGATGAGAAAAAAAAATCAAGAAAAAAAAAGAAATGAATGTGAAAAAGAGTTATGTGAAAAATATGTGTGGTTTAAATAAAATGAATATAAGAAAGAGATGAATAATCGTTGGAGAAAGAGAGATGTCAGATTTTTCACATGAGAAAGAGAAGGTGTGAAGGGCAAAATCGGCTGAACAAGCCTAAATTGTATAAAACTTTACTTTTATGTCCCATCATGGGTAATTGCCTAATATAGGCTTCAATTTTGGGCATTTGCCTAATTCTCTCATTCTGATATGTTCGTTGTGCAAGCGAGGCCTGCACCTCAGCCCTAAGTGTGGACTCCGTTTCTGCCAATTTGAGTGTGTCCCTTGGGTCGATCTCCATGTTTCAGACCTTATTATTTATGCTTTTCCAAATATACCAGAGTATTCAAGAAAAATGATGGTCCTCCATTTCCGGGACGACCTTCCAGAATAAATGATCCAAATTTGCAAACAATGATTGTCTGGAAAAAGCTCGGGAATTGATGGAATCTTTGAAAGTGTCTAAACCTGAACCACATGTGGGCATTCGAAAAAAATGATGTATTGACTCATTAGATGTCCCACATCGCGTACAGACAGTATCCCTTTGTATCCCCATGGATTTCAAATTCACCTTAACCGCTATGAAACCAGTTACCAGTTGCCACCAAAAATGTTTCATCTTGGGTGGGTAGCGTACTTTCCAACATAAAGCCTTCAATGGAGTGACGGAGGGGCCATATTCAAGAGGTGGCCTTCCGTGGTATGGGTATATGCGTTCTACTTGGTATCCAAATTTAACCGTGTATCATCCATTATTTTTAAAATGTCATCCATCCCTATCTTCTGTACGAAATCAACTTAGTGGTATACTCTCAATAATTTTTACTTCTTTCGGTTCAACTAATTCCCTGATGACCTGCAGATTCCATGTTCCCAATGTTGCATCAATAAGGGAATCAACCTTAAGTTCCGGGTTAACATTGTGATGATTTGAATTTGCTGGTCTCGGACGTGTGGATGAAAGCCAAGGATCGGAATGTTGATTTATTTGGGTGAATATAACTATATAGAAGGATATTGTATTTAATTTAATAATTTACCCGAAAAGGTTAAGTCCATAGAAATAATTATGTTTTAATAAGAGAGATTATGTTAAGATACGCGTCTTGCGCGAAATGAACATCATGTATAAACTATTTTTACAGATTATTATTTATTTTATGTTAATTTACAAATTATGAAATAATAAACATATTAAATAATTGAGAAGTAAGCACATCAATCAAAACAATCACTTTTGTTTATTTACAATAATTTTTATTAGTAAATAAATCAAACCAATTATTTTTATTTATTTTATGTGGTATATAATTAAAACTAAATGAAATTGAATTAGAATATATACTATATATTTAATATAAATATTTATTAAGCTAGGCTTCCTCCTCATATGATTTTATTAACATTTATACATTTGCTATAACAGAAAATTTAAACTAATAATCACAAAATTTTCAATATGATATTTTGATAGTTTTAGTAATTTAAAATCATTTTAAAACTTCAATGCAAATTTTAAAATTAAAATATTCAGATCTTAATACTTTTGCAATGCAAATTTTGAAATTAACCTATTTATGTATTTTTTTATATGGTAGATTTAGCAAAAAAAAATTAAACCATTGATCACAAATTTGCAATGTGAGAGTTTGATAGTTTTAGTAACTTAACATTGCTGGCAAAAAATAAAATGAAAAGCTGACATTTAAGTTGTTTTTAAAAATTCAGAATAATACATATAAGAAAAATCTTAATTTTTATTATATAGTTAATGTGATTGTTTAGTTTTTTTTTAATAATATAAATTATATAAAAATAACTGAAGATACAACAATTGCAGTCAAATCTTTATTAATCAAACTCAATAATTATCATATATAAGTTAATCATATTAAATAATTTTGTACCTTTTATTGAAAAAATAATGAAGAATATTTTATTATTACTATTTAATTTAATTAAAACTATAATACATATTTATATAGCCAAACCTAATGATGACATGTTTTTTAAGATTCTATAAGAATCATCCTAATGATGACATGTGACTATCTCAAAGGTTCTAATGTTTTTCAATTAATATACAAGAGATATTTTCTTCTCAACAAAAATAACATAATTGGTATTATGACATTTTACATTAGTAGCATTAAAACTAAAAAAAATAACAGTGGAGAACTTGGTAGTCTTAAGACAAGTTGAAGTTGCAATTTGATCAACAAAAGAAAAATGTAAAATGTAATATCGTTTAGAGATAATTGGCTAAAATACCCTATTTGGCACCTATAATTAACGAAATAACCATGATTTGATTGTTGCTTTTCTTTGGACCATTATGCCCTTCTCTACACTCTCTCTCCTCTCCTTGACATCTTCCTTTTTTTTTTCTCTTCAATCCCTAATTATTTTACAAATCTCTACAATTCTATATACAATTAAATTTTAAATTTCATTATTTTTTCCTAAGTGGCTTTGAATCCTCAATTTTTTGACCTTTTTTTTCTCTTCAATCCCTAATTATTTTACAAATCTCTATCATTTTATATACAATTAAATTTTTAATTTCATTATTTTTTCATAAGTGGCTTTGAATCCTTAATTTTTTGATGATATCAATTTTCTGGGTTTTAGATTCGACGTCGTGTTAGCGGTTAACAAATATTGTAGACGTTAACAGAAGTGTTAGTTGTTAACAATTATTTTTACGCTTCGCGTTAATAAATGTGTTCGCTGTTAACAAATATTGTAGACGTTAACAGAAGTGTTAACTGTTAACAATTATTTTTATGCATCGCGGTAATAAATGTGTTGACTGTTAACAAATATTGTAGACGTTAACAGAAGTGTTATATGTTAACAAATGTTTTTACGCTTCATGTTAATAAAAGGAAAGAGAAAGAGCATTCTCGGCATTTTCTTATCAAATAGTTGTATCTGTGTCCTTCATGTCCAGTTAATGGTATTTTGCTAATTTGAGCTTCAAATATGGGTAGTTCACTAAATCACTCTATCGTTTATGCAAATAGAGAAAATTGTTCCGTCTGGGCAGTCCGAATAAAAGTCTTTCGTCTGAAGGGATAAGAAAGATTCGATATCAGATTCTTTTATAGTCATATTTTCTGTTTTTCTCAAACAATTATTTAAAATTGTTCAAAGGCTAAAAAAGGCGGAAATTCATTGAAAGATAACAAATTCAGACCAATTTGTTTTGAAACATTTCAAAATAAAATATATAAAACAAATTATTGGGCTATGTCCCAACCAATGAGGTACTACAACTATTCCTGAGAGACAGCTTACCCTTTTTTTGTCAACAGACAGCTAACCTAATCATCATTCGTATGGATTTTTTATTTATAACCACTTGGTCATAAACTATCCATCCATATATATACACATGATACTGAATACAATATAGTCGTTATCAGATATACCCATCTCTTCATCAGCATATTCCAAACGATTTTTGAGAAACAAAATCGTTTCAGTCCCAATTCTCTTTTACATATTTCGGGTTACTTGAGCAATACGTAAGTAAATTGATTTAGATGGTTGTAATGTTGACGCAAAAGGGTCGAGAAATGAGCAGCCGTGGTGATGGTCCAAAGACAGAGAAGGGTGACTTGTTTGTGGCAGTGGCCGTGAAGGGTATCATCGGAGATAAGTTGGGAGGCGCAGGAAGCCGCCGCGCAGTACGGTGGGCCGTCGATAACCTCTTACCTAAGGCTGATCGGTTTGTGATGATCCATGTCATCCCAACCATTAGTACTATCCCTACCCCTAGTAAGTCTCTCAATAATTAAACACATTTCAAGTCTTTATGGCTTTTGTCCAATTGTTTTTGTTTCTATTCATTTTCCACATGAATAAACTAAAATAATATATATATCCCAAAAGACAAAAAGAATTAAACAAAAAATACAAATGTGGAGTGTTATTTGTTTATTATTGATAATCAAGAGATCAATGTAATATATATGTCGCATTCATGTTCAAACGATTTATTATTTAAGATCACAGTTACCTTTAATGTACTTTGCTATCAAAACAATTTTTGTTTTTCCAAAGATTAAATAGATTTGTTGTATTCAGTCAAACGATTTGAGTTAATTTCGACAAATTTTATATATTTTTCAGATGAATTTATATGAACATATATATCTATGAGTTATTAAAAAATCTTCACAAAAATAACTTTAGAGATTATTTTGTAACATTCATGATTTGATAACATGGGAATTAAAAATCGTATTTCTATTGAGTATTAACATACCCTCCTGAATCAAACTTGGATATTTGATTCATGCAGCCGGAGACAGATTGCCGCTAGAGGAAGTGGAGGATAGATTGGTGGAAATGTATGTGAGAGACGTGAAACAAGAATTTGAGACAGTCTTTGTTCCCTTCTTGAAAATGTGCAAGACTAGTAGTATCAAGGTTGGTTCATTTTTACTTCCAGTCCAAATCTATAAATCTATAGAAGTTTTAGGGTCCTACTGTAAAAATTCCTGAATTACGTAACTTTCAGTGCCAGGTAGAGACTCTCTTGCTAGAGTATGATGATCCAGCAAAGGCCCTTCTACGATTCATATACAAATCAGGAGTTAACAGTTTGGTTATGGGATCGTTCAATTCAAACATATTCTCACGGTATACAAATAGCCCCGTTTGGTTAATTTTTCCATAAATAAACGGTTATTTTTGTCACAATTTACACTAACCGACTGGTTTACCTTGGTTTAGGAGAACAAAAGGTCCAGGAGTACCATTGACTGTCTTAAAATACTCTCCAGAAACATGTGAAGTATACATTGTGTGCAGAGACAGAATCACTACAAAATCTATGGATCCATTAATCAACGCATGTAAAAGCAAAATTTATATATATAATTTTATTCAATATGCTGTACTTTTGCTGCTTGGTCACTACTCTCTAACGGTGATTAACCGTCTAATTATGCAGTGCCGTGCACAAGTCCAAAAGCAGCTGCGACCGCCCGCGGTTTTCTGAAAGAGGGAGTGGCTAGCTTCCACACTGTACAGACACGAACGTCATCTGATTCTGGAGAATCCATAGGTACATTATATAAAATATCCATCGGAGATTCATAGGATATAAAGTGATGTGGTTAAATGCATAGTCAATTTTCAAATTACTACTAAAGTCTAAGTTCTATCTTGACGATATACACTTTTTGTCACAATATGCAGGAGTTGTCTACGTATAATATCCACAATTAATGTTTGTATTTTAAATATTTCCGCAAGAAACCAAAATTCTTTAAGCAAACTAAAATTTTCGAATTATTTTTTCTTAAGGCATACTAGTAGACTATCAGGTTTAGGTCATTTTGATATTTATATTTCCTTTTAATAATTTCACGAGGAGTTAAAAAGAAAAAAGGTTTGCATATCCAATTTTTTACTAAAACCTGTTTTTTTTTTTTTAAGTACTACAACCTATTTTTACAACAAACATATGCACCAACCAATAAGAAATTCATATGAAATATACAAAATGATAATGATTTTTTTTTTAACTGAACAAAATGATAATGATAATGCATACATGTATTAAGTATAAGCTATGATCTCTATGCAAGCTGAGATTTTTCTTTTTGTTATGGTGTTGAAGAGGTAGGCACGAGGAGGTCAGCATCGGCTAAAGAGTTGAGATTGGAGACATTAAGCCTCGCTATTAGGGAACCCGAAACGCCTCAAAGTAGCAAGGCTTCTAGGGCAACAGTTCAAGACGTTATAAGGTGCCGGGGAAGATCAGATATTCCACAGCTAAATTACTCTGATTTTGATGAAACAACCGAACAACAATCAAGTATTAAGGCTTTATCAAAAAAAGAATCAAATATTGAGGCTTTATCAAAAAAAGAATCAAATATTGAGAACATTGTCAGAGAACAAAGAGACTCTGATTCGCCACCCGCAACATCAAGAAAATCCAAGAAGGTACTTATCATCTTTTTATTCAGTGATGAGACCAGTAAGAAGGAAGAAAGAGTTTGAAGATTTGGTGTTTGTTTTGACAGGTTGAGATTGAAGCAGAGGTAGAGCGTTTGAAAAAGGAGTTACAAAGTACGGTTGTTAAGTATAAACAAGCTTGTGAAGAGCTTTTCTCCACACAAAACAAGGTACATTTACACCAAGCAACCTCTGCTTGTAACGTATTGAAATGGTGAATTACTTTGATTGCTTGTTCGTCAAGTAAAGTGTTTCTTTTGGGATTTCTCTGCCAGGTTCAAGTACTGTCGTCTGAGTGTTCCAAAGACGCTAGAAGAGTGAACAATGCTGTGGAGAAAGAAGAAGTGCACAGGAAAACCGCGGCGCTGGAGAAAGAGCGGCACCTGAAGGCGATTAAAGAGGTAGAAGCAGCAAAAGCTTTGCTTGCGAGAGAGTATTGTCAGCGACAAATCGCAGAGGTTAATGCTTTAAAGAATTACTTGGCAAAGAAGAAAGTGATCGATCAGCTTTTAGGGACGGACCAACGGTACAGGAAATACACAATAGAAGAGATTTTTATGGCCACCGAAGGGTTCTCTCCGGAGAAAGTGATCGGGGAAGGAGGATACGGTAAAGTTTACCATTGTAGCCTTGATAGTACTCCGGCAGCTGTTAAGGTTGTCCGGCTAGATACGCCGGAGAAGAAACAAGAGTTCTTGAAAGAGGTAACTGTAAACCAAATAACGTATGGTTTTGTTTGGATTTTCATATTCACTAAAATACATAAACTTAATAACTCCATTCAAGGCTTACGACTTAGTATTTAAGGTTTAATTTCAATGGTTTGATCCTGTTTAATTTATTTTTAATTTGGTATTTTACTCTATATATATAGGTTGAGGTTTTAAGCCAACTCCGACACCCACACGTGGTTCTTCTCTTAGGAGCTTGTCCGGAGAATGGTTGTCTGGTTTACGAGTATTTAGAAAACGGAAGCCTGGAAGAATACATATTTCACCAGAAAAATAAACCGCCTTTGCCTTGGTTCATCCGGTTTAGGGTTGTTTTCGAGGTAGCTTGCGGTTTAGCCTTCTTACACAGCTCTAAACCAGAACCAATTGTTCACCGTGATCTAAAACCGGGTAACATCTTGTTAAACCGGAATTATGTGAGCAAAATCGCAGATGTCGGTTTAGCCAAGCTGGTTACAGATGTTGCACCGGATAATGTTACGATGTACCGACACTCTGTTCTTGCTGGTACATTGCATTACATTGACCCGGAGTACCATCGAACCGGAACGATTAGACTCAAGTCGGATCTTTACGCGTTCGGGATCATCATTCTTCAACTATTGACGGCTCGTCAGCCCAGTGGGCTTGTACATGCTGTTGAAAATGCGGTTAAGACAGGAACATTAACCGAAATGCTAGACAAGTCTGTTTCAGATTGGCCTTTGGCAGAAACCGAGGAGTTGGCACGGATCGGATTAAAATGTGCTGAGTTTCGGTGTCGAGATAGACCGGATCTCAAAGAAGAGGTTATACCGGTTTTGAAACGACTTGTAGAGACAGCAAATTCAAAGATAAAGAAAGAAAGAAGCAATCTACGTGCACCGAGTCATTACTTTTGTCCCATCTTACGAGTGAGTTAAAGCATACCCGGTTTGGTACATGATTTTAATAACCAAAAGTCCAAACCGGTTTTGATTTTTTTATTTGTTTTGTAAACAGGAGATAATGGAGGAGCCGGAGATTGCAGCTGATGGATTCACATATGAGAAGAAAGCGATCTTAGCGTGGCTTGAGAAACATAACATTTCACCAGTGACACGACAAAAGCTCGACCACTTCAAGCTCACACCAAACAATACACTCCGGTCTGCAATTCACGATTGGAAATCAAAAGTCCGGTTTTCTAATGTCGTTGTTAATATAACAAGTTGATTTCTCATTGTGGACATTTTTTCAAAAAAAAAATATTGGTGTTGTAATGTTTTTTGTAGTACATGCATGTACATATATTATATATGGGTTGTCAGGTATAATATGGTTGTGGTGGACATATATAAAGAAAGAGTTAAATGATTTGGTTTTTGTTTTGTAAACCTACAGAGATGAAAAATACAATATAGGTTTGTTGTATATTATCTGGTTGCTGTATAAAGTGATTCTTTTTTTGTAAACCTACAGAGATGAAAAATACAATATAGGTTTGTTGTATATTATCTGGTTGCTGTATAAAATGAGGCATGCATCCATATATTTTTTTCATATTGTAGAGCTTCAACTTAATCTGGACCCACCTGAGATTTATAGATGAGATTTAAAATGAATTATAGATTGGAGACTGTATTATCCGTAGATACAGTTTAATTAATTTAAATTTTAAAATTTTATGCCTATATATTTTTTTAATTGTGGAAGGTAAGGTTGGACATTCGGTTCCAGTCGGATTTCGGTTTGGTCAAATCGAATTTTGGTTTTTTTGGCTGTATCAAAATTAGTCTTAGTCGGGCTATATGAAAGTTTGGTTCGTGATTGGTTCGGGCTTTATCGTGTTCGAGCTGGGGTTAGTAAATTTTCAAATTAAGAACAGATATAACCTATAGTACTTTTGATTTCAGATCTCAATCGGTTCTTTATTTTAAAACTACCTGATTTGTATTTACTTTGTAACAACACATAAATAAAATCGATTCTTCAAATTTAAAGTACATGATTTATACCTATTTTGTAACTAAAAAATAAGTAAAAATTATTCAAAAACTGAGAAAAACATCAAACGTGATCATTCAAAATAAAAAAGAAAGGTAAAAATAGTTACTGATATAAATAAAACCAAATAAACGAAGACATAAAACGAAAAACAAGTTATCATGAAATGAGAAACATTATTCACTGAAAATAAAATCAAAATCTAAAAAAACACTTCAAGCTTCAACCACCACCTACAACCAATCAACTTTCATGTAAAAATAATTATTTTAGATGTTAATTAATATATTAAGTATTTTGAATATATATTAAGAATTGAAATCATGTTTGATACAAATTCTATTTTGAGCTTTTGAATGTTTCAGATTCTATCAGATATTCATTTAGATTCGTATTCGGTTCAGATTATATCCATAATCCGAAATATCATAACGCAAGATACATTTAGTATTTATGACGGGTTTAGATCAGTTTGGATTCATTTTTATCAGGTCGGGTGGGTTCGGATTCGTTTAGAATTTTGGAGTTCGATTTATTTTCCCACTCTTAGTGGAAAGTAATAAGAATATCGCGTCTAATTTATAATTATATAAAAGTTGACGTGTAATATAATTCATTAAGAATGTCTCCATATGATTTAAAACCGCCATAAAAATATTTCAAATCATCATTTTAGTTTATCATTTTCAAAAATGTCAAAACTATCAAAAACTTCCAAAAGTTGTTTATTTCAAAATAAAATAGCAATCAATATCAAATAACGTAAACTAACAAAAGTAAAAAAAAATATAAATAACTTAATATCAATAATAAGTTTTTAAAATTTGATATAAAAAATAACTAACCAAAATAATACAATTAGTTTAAAAGGGGATTTGCCAAAATGATTTAAAACTTGATATTAAATGAAAAATATATATCTCAAATTCAATCAAAAGTAACTCAAAATGTTAATAAAATTACAACAATTTCTTTATTACCAAACAAAAAAGTCAATTTTCTCAAAAAGAAAATTTAAAGTTTTTCTCACCAGAAAAGCCTTCAATGGGGCAAATGACCAATATATATTTCATTAAAGAGGTAAATACCCTTATATCCTCTCTTACTTTATAGATATATAATATAAATAATTATTTATATTAATAATCAAAATAAAATATTTTTATAGTTTTCAAATAATATATTTTCAAATTCAAACTTTTTATAATATGATTTTCAAATTTATTTTTCAATACTTTTTCTCACGTATTATTTTTCAAATTGAAAAATTCTTATTAAAACTATTTTTATAATTTTATTTTAAAATTTAACTATTTATTTATTATAAACATCACTCCTCAAATCTAAACTTTAACTCTGTATTAGTTAATCCTAGGGGTATAAGTATCTATTTGCATTTTAATGAATCATCTTTTGGTCATTTTTTTTCCATATAAACCATTTTTGATGAAAAAACCTAAAAATAGCCATCTTATGGAATTTTCCAACAAAAAACATGTAATCACTTTTACGATTATAATCCAGCGAGGTCTTCTCAGATTAGTGAAATCTTCTTCAAGAAGAATCTAGAAATATTTTCATGTATTTGATCAGAAAATAATTTATAAAATCTGAAAAAATAGTTTGATGGAAAATAAATTGAAATCATATAATTATTAACAATTTTAAATGATCAAACCTAGATTTACTAAACTTGAATTGTTTTCAACATAGACGAGTGAATATAGGTTGTAAGTCGTGATTATCCTTGTGTTATGGTTTGGTAACATATGTTATAGTATTGTTTGCACTTTTAGGGTTAGATTTTAGAATCTTTAACTTTTTTTTAAATAAGATTAAAATTTTTTCCTCCTTATATAAATAAAATTTTCATATTCTCACTCTTTTTTTTTAGATGGCTGCAACAAAAATGTAATAATTTTCACTCTAAAACTCTCCCACCTCTCTCTCTAATCTAGGGCTGGGCATAAACTGAATTGAACCCGAACTTAAATAGATATCCGAAAAACCCAAAACTTCAAAAATTCCCAAAAAAACTTATACGATACTCAATATCAATTTATAATATATATCGAAAACACACTAAGATATTATTTAGTCCCTACAATAATTAGTTACTACAAGAATAATTAAATCAAATACTTAGTCTAATATATATTTTTATTTGGTTAATATTAATGTCTTATGTTTAATGTTGCATTTGAAGTTTAGTTATAAATAAAATTGCTTTAGAGTTTAAATAGTGTTTTTACGTTTCTAGAATTTTTAGTTGTTAATTTAATATTTTATTTTTCATTATGTGTATTATGGCCCTGAGACATAAAACAAAGATACATTCGGATAAAGTTTTTTACGTTAATACATTATTAAGTATTTTTAGGGTAAAACCAAGTACATATTAGTATTTTAGAACCAAAAACCTGATTAAGATCCAAAACCCAAAATTATATCGGGTTCAACTGGTTCTTAGGTATGTTACTAAATCTAAACCGAACCTGACTAAACCTGAAATGAATCCGAACTGAACTTTTATAATATCTGAATAAGATTGATTTTCATAAACCCGAAACCTGATTGGACCCGAACCAAAACCCGATTGGGACCTCGAATTCCCAGCCCTACTCTGATCTCTTTGAACTTGAAGACACCAAACTTTATATCAATTTATTATCTTTTGTTTGATATCTTTCTCACTACCTTACCTGGTTTTTGTAGGTTTTTCATTTCATGGTTTTCATATTTCACTCATTTAAAGGTAAATCTATTAGTATTGGATACATATTTTTGTGTTTACATGTTAGCTTCAAAAAATTTATAGATGCAACAAAGTATGATTTATTTATTCATTTAGACATAAAAGTGATATTTTTAAATTTTGCTCTTTCTGAAACGATTTTAACCTTTTGAACATGCATGTTTTTCAGATCTGAGGACAATATAAGACTCGAACTTCATTAGCAGACTTCTCTAAAAGACTTCGAGAAAAGTATTTTAGAGAAGTCTACTATGTACACTACCAAATTTAGTAAGAATATTTTCACAAATTGTTTTTGTATGTTAAATAAAAATAAAGTTATAGATTCAACTTAATGTGATTATTCTGTCATTATTTTAGCCTAACATTGTATTTTTCAGGGCTAGATCCAAACAAAAATATATATTAAACTTATTATTTGTTTTCTTAAAAATTATATTTTAAAAAAATTCTGTATTTGATATTATTTTAAACATTTTTGGATATGCATGTTTTAATACTTCTCAAACAGATTTCCTTGGGGGTTTCTCATAAGACTTCACTATGAATTAAACGGGAAATTAAAATTTAATCGAAAATTTTAAATTTTAAATGAAATTTGACTCAAATTAGAAGACTTCTAATGGTATACTTCTCTATAAATATTCTAAAATGTGGTCAAATTTCACTGAAAATTTTAGCTCCCTCTTACGGTTAAGAGACTCTTTTCCATTTCTTCAACTTGTTGTAATCATAACCAAAGGTTTTGGAACTTAAAGAAAAGGCTCATGCCTTATCTATTATAAATTTTGTATACTTAGGATGATTGATATGTTGTGTTTTTGACATATTACACATACTTTGCATATCACTTTTGTGCTTTTCTGGAGTATTCTTAGTGTGTTTTGAGTTATTTCAGGTGGAGAACAAGTTGGAATGCACCAGAAGAAGCATATGGAAGAAAGAATGCAAAATCCAGAGTTTTCCATCGCGGAGCACCCATGCGGAGCAAACCCCAATTTGCTCCCGTTCTTTAATGAGACCTATGATCTATTTCGGGAAAGATTCAAAAAGCATCACCTCTCTACCCTAGCAGGCGCCCTTCTTCCAAAGAACCCTGGCCGCATACTCTTTCAGACAGAGAGTTTAGACTAGTTTTTACACAAGAAACTTATTGAGACTTTTTTGGAGAAGATTTGGTCTAGCTATTTTGTAAGGGCCAAGGTTTCCTCCTCTTAGTTTCTAGAGAAGAAATCTCTGAACTCTCTTAATACTTTGATTTATCTAATGCATTATTCAGTCATGACTTGTGTGTTCTCTTGTGCTATGATTGAGTAGCCAATTCGTTAACCTAGGATTCTAGGGTGTTGATCCATTGAATTGAACATAGATAAGCCCCATTCTCGCCTTTGCTCTCCACTGTTCTTACTGCTGATACTGATTTGATCACTTAGTATTTGATTCCAAGTTTAATCTTTTGTCATTAATCCTGAATTAGGTTGCTAGATCTGTTGAGAGCAAGCATCACATCCCTGGTCAGCGAAAGTAGATATCAGCCGAATGTGCAGTGTACTAACTCTCTCGTGTTTTGAAATTTTTGCAGATGGTTTCTGACGCACGAC